CCCGAGTGAAATTCTGGCTAGCAAGTGGTCTTCTGTGCGCTTTCATAGGTGTCTTCGATCGTGCTGTCAGGTCGAGAGATGACAAGCTGGGGAACGAAAAGCGCACATTTTGATCACCTCTAGCCAACCGCTGGGAAGTTGAGCAGGATCACTGATTTCAATGCTTAGATTCCCGCCCTCCGCCCCCGTGAATACTCCCAGATCTCCCGTCCCAAGAAGACCGTCAGCCGTGCCTATGGTGGTTCTCGCTGCGCCGGTTGCGTCAAGGACCGCATTGTCCGCGCTTTCCTGATTGAGGAGCAGAAGATCGTCAAGAAGGTCCTCAAGGAGTCTCAGGAGAAGGCCGCTGGCAAGCGCTAAACGGATTGCGTTTTGTTCTCGGTGTTCGTCTTTTTTAAAGTGGGAGCGAATGATATGGAAAAATTCGGCTGGGTACGGTTCTCTTAGAGATAAAAGATGAACGGACACGGCTAGCATGCGAACCTTGTATGGTCGTGGCTATCAATGAAATTTCATTCTCATCATGAGTTATCAGCTCTTCCTGTCACTGTGTTGATCTGTCCAGAGGGAACACATGAGTTATTAAGCGATGAAATAATGGTCACGCTCATCGGAGAACTATTTCACTCTATCCACATGCGTAGCTTTTCACTTCTACAGGTCGATCGCATTTGAAGGCAACGTAATTAAGGATTACTTGTTAATCATTAAGAAATCGCTTCATTCACCTTCCCACTCAAGTCATCTGCTCGGGGCTCAGATAAAGAGCTTCATGGTCATGCTTCGATAGGTAGTCATGGCAGAATTGCCAGCGCCAGCAGGGTCTTACCTACCATATTCGATGTGCTGGAGCCTGAATCATCAGGCACCAATTGCTGTTAAAAGTTTTTGGATCGGAGTGAAGCGAATACTATGCACCATGCTTACGATTTCTACCCAAAAGGAGAATGAAATTTCGTGAATAGGTCAAGAATATTGTCCAAAAAAAAAAAAAAAGAAAAAAGAAAAAAAAAAAAAAAAAAAAAAGGATAACGGAGAAAGCATAGGTGTAAGGAAATGAGGGTCGAGCACAGGAATATATTTCTGGAAGAGGGTACCTGCTTGTACATGTACTAGGACTTGACATCTACTACTCCGGGTACGACCGTGCTACATTGGCAAAACATGAAAGGGAGGACCGGGTTCTTCATGGCATGAGTAATGATATCCGTCTCGAAGAGCGCACAGATGGATGAAAGATGTCGAAGTTCCCTCTTCATGATCAATGACACAAATCTACCATCGTGATCACCATTCGACACAGTGACCATCAACCTCGTAGATTGCTCTTCTTTTATCCTTGTCAATTCTGAGAATATGGAACTATATGCGGGATGTGGTACATATACGCACATCCATGATAATACCGAACAAATCTCATTTATGTATTTGTGACAGTATCTCTTCTCATCCACGTCAAAGTACCTTCAGGTACCAAAATCGGGTGAATCCTGGTCGGATGCCTGTGCGTCCAGCATGGCATGCAGCTAGCTAGTACATAGCTGAGTGTTTAACAAGGTGTTCCGCGGTTGTGAAATCGACTGCTGTGCTGTAGATCTTGGGGGATCCGCCTGGACAGAGCAGCTCATCGATTCCGAGTGAGGGCCAATGGGGCCCCGTTAAGCATCAGTCTGAGCCATGCTTCTATCGTTGAAGAATTTATTTAGGCCGGAAGAAAAGTGCTATGGTATAATGTCCGCCATCCATAAGACATTGGACGAGGTACTCTATCAGTAGATAGATAGAGTTCTGTCTCTGAGGACTGATCGACAGAGGAATGTCACCTGTCAATTATGTAACCAGCCATCGAAAGATCACACCTGTATTCCTTTCCGGTTCAGACACATGGTGTACATTGCTGTACAGATTACACTGCTGTAGGCATCCTATGGAAGCGGTGTGGACGTCGCCCAGACCCTTCTTTTCGCTCTCCAGGTACCGGTGGTTCTCTTGAGAACCTGATCTTCGGCACGGAAACCGGTCATCGATCGGACTGGTGATGCGTGAAACCAGCCTTATCTACGTGCTGATACCCAGAGTGATCTATAATAGCATCGACATAAGCAAGTCCCCATGCAGGATGTAGAAAGAAGATGATATGCTCAAAGGATCGCGGAAAGAGCTTTGAACCCCCGATTGATCTGTACATATTAGCAACTATTGTCTGCAACTGCAAGAGGGGCCAGAACATAAGTACCCACCGAATCTAGGCCAGTTTCGAGGCTGATATGGGATGGGCTGTTTCGGCGATGAATCCCTGCTGCGACAACCCCGGGCGTTTAAGGTCAGGTCAGGTGAAAGGAAAATTCAGGCAACCCAGTCATAGTTGCGAAGGCAACGAGCTAGTCCGAAGTGGAATCATGTTCTATTCTTTGGAGCAGCATGCACCATGAGGAACACCCCATATGTCCCAGTAACAGGAACCAGAAAAAAACACTATACCCCATGATGCACAACGAAGAAAGAGACAGAGGATGATCGAGGGTCTTTACTCTGATCACCTTGAATCTTCGATCATGGCGCTCCAGCCATGATGCTAGTTAGTGGAGGCGTAGAATCCATCAAGCAAATGGAATCGATCGCCATATGAAGCCCGCCAATAGGAAGGCGGCGTTCTGATCATTATCTGTTTCCAGTTATAGGACATTGCCTAGGTTGTACCTCGGCCCCCGTCGTCAAGCACTACGTTCAAGCAGCTTAGAGTTCGGAGCCGGCCGCCATCTTGATAGAAAACGTCCTTTTGACAGTTTTCTTTGAAGCTTTGAAAGAATGAAAGTGATTCACTCATGGATGATGAATGGATCGATCCACTTTGCTGAGTTTGAGAGTGGATTTTACGTCGCAAGTTCTTGCAGGAAACAACTTTGGCTTCGAAGAAGCAGTCCAAGTCGCAAATAAGTACAGTAATTACTTGGAGAAGGAGGAGAAGGAAGAGTGTCCTCATACCTGAGACCTTGAATCACATTGTCAGACGATAATGTCCTTCATCGGCGGCCCAGGGGATCTGACGTGGATGCTCATCTCAGTCTCCTTTATCCCGCACAATCCACGCCTGAAATAAATGGACATCTTACTCCAACTATCGAATAGCAAAGCACGCGAGGGATGAATCCCTTGGAATCAAGTCCATAACCACTCACAACCCACCCTGATCACTCTGTCCGGCGCTGGCTTTGCGACGCCATTGGGCTTGGCTGCATGAACAGTGACGGATGGACATCTACGAAGTCGCCTGAGATAGTGAGAAGCTACACCTAGTTCGAATCGGATGTGACAACATATACATACATGAGACATCAAGCTCTATCCTTTGACATGTGGAGACTTTATCTATCTCTCTAGTCTCTGTCCACCTGTCAGTTAGTCATTTGTACTTTTGACCGTCCTTCTAGCATGCTTTTTAGGTATAATTTTCTGCGCTAAGATTCCAATGGTACTTGCTTAGGGTCATCTAGCGCGCAGGACTTGGTCGTCTGGTGGAACAACATGACAGCACGCCGGATCTTCATGTCGATTCAATCAGATGGAAGGAGATGACAACGCAGTCTCCTCTCATCTCCGGCATAATGAGGAATTACCCAACTGTCGAATCGACTCCGCCACACCCCTTGGGACCCTTACTTACATATCGCACATACATACATACAAACATACATACAAACCCTTGAAGATGTCACCTTAGCTCCTTCTCATCATCAACTAGATGCCTTGCGTAATCACAAGGCAGAACCACCACCAGTCTTCGACTCTACGGCTGAAAAAAAGAGCTCGAGGACGGCTGAATCTTCCGTCGAATGGATGGTTTCCTACCCCGTACTATCTGTATGTACTATGTGGGTAGGCATAATTTTGTGTTCTGACTCGTGTACTCTGTAGATGAATGATGTATAAGGAGCACGTCGGGCAGCATCCTCCATCCTCAATGACGCGAGTTCGACGACAAGCTGACATGGATGCTGAGAGTTAAGAGTGTATCAGATTTTGGAGATTTTCCTAATACGAAACAGGCATTATTGCTGCATGATTGTCAGTATCTCTATAGGGCATTATGAACCACTGTCACTATCATCATCACCGCGTCACAGTCAGCAACGACTGTCCACATGATCGACATTCCAAATGAAGAAACGAATCAGCCTAGAAACATACCTGACGGGAGAATCGTGAGTTGAGAATATGGTGGATATACAGTACCTACTAGGTAGTGTATCCATGATGTTTTTTTGAAATATCCAAAACTCTAGCAAAATTTCAAGCCCCGGTAACGTTATACCATGACATACCTCTTATCTCAATCATATATCCATCATGTCCAAGCAGGGATTTACAGTAGCTGCTATGTGGCCATAGTGTGGAGGTCTGATATCAGCCATGGATTGGTTTCTAGAGATAATGGCTCACCCATTCAGTAATGTTCCCCGAAGCTACCACCGTGGATCCACACTAGATCTACCAGAAATTTGAGAAGTTCCGTATTTCCAGTGTTTTGAAAGTAAGGTAGGTATAGATGATAGTAAAGGTACTCCTTAAGGTAACAATAGGACCGGAAATGTGACAAATAAGAGATCTTCAACGCCAGAACTTTTGCGCTCTTCCTAAGCCAGAAAAGAAAAAGAAAAAGATCAGCAAAAAAGGGAAATGTATTGACGTGAAATCATGAACAAATGATGGCTTAGACCGTCAGCTACAGTACATAGATTATGCAAGTCAGCTATCAGAGGACTGCCGCCCGTGTCTCGAATATCTGTCTGACTGCCGCCCACTCTCTTTTCTCAATAGTCAATATCTAGTCATCCCAGAAATTGTCATACACTGAGCTTGAGATCTGACGAGGGTTCCGGGCCGGTCCACCAGCCATGATTATTATTAACTGGAGGTACTGGGGGAGCGAATAGATTTCAGACCAACCTCCAAACCCGCTTTCATATGCAAGACAATACTCTGCGTTAGGCCCCGCCATGTCATAGAACAAAGGGGTACAGGGAGGGGGCCTCGGTGCAGCCAATGACGCTGCCTAAATTGTACTGTTCGGCCGACGGTCGATGCATCAGCGTGGCAGGGCCCGACACACGGGTTGGTGACACTGTCGCCACGGAAGTACCTGTGCGAAGGTATGGGAAGTAATTCCCCATCTGTGGCGGTAGCTGCTGCTGGTGCAGAGGTGCGGGATGCAGACACAGTCGTTCCCTTTGCATAGCGTCCTGCTGGCCTCCGGTCATCAACAACATCTGGCCGCGATACTTGGCTGCAATCTTGGTCGCCTTCCCCCCTTTGGCTCCAGATCGTTGACGCTGGGGGGCCGGCGGATCCGAGCCCAAAGCCCTCTTGTGATTCGCTTGCTTCCTGTATCGGGTTGTCGACTGAATGCCTTTCCTGTATGCCTCGTCCGTAAGGCGCCAGTAATTCATGGCTTTTTTGCCATTGGGGGATTCTACCCTCACGGCTTCGAAGCCCTGCAAGTTTAGTCGCATCTTAGCACGCATCTCCAACAGAGATCAAAACAAAGAAAGGGTAAAATTACGGAGGATCGGTCGGACCACATACCGCATTCATTGAGAGATTATGCCGGATACTGTTCTGCCATCCCTTTGAGCGTTGGTCTCTCCCTTTGCTTGTATTTTGCTCGAACCAGCTATAGATCTCTTGAAGAGTACGCTTCCTATCAGGAGCAGTCTTGAGAGCTTCTGCGATCAAATGAGAATACGGAAGGTCTGTGGGGCCGTTCTCATCTGAGATTGGATTCCTTTCTGCCTCATTGCGATCAATTTCTCGCTCAACTTCTGTTCTATCACGGTCGACATGCTGTGAAGAATTGGGAGACGTAGCTGACCTCGTTGCGGGATAGGGTGTGGTATGCGTATGCATCGTCTCCGACTGCTGTGGAAAAAGTTCAGCGGCGGGTGAAGGCGTAAAGTAAATCTGAGAATCAGGGCCATTGCGACCATGGCCCTCTACTCCATGGATCCAATCCGACGAGCCCCGAGTCACACGAGGGTGTCCAAACTGAACATCTGCCTGGTCCGGTCTGGCATAGGGCGCCATATTATGGGACGTCCCTTCATCACAGTATGAAAATAGATAAGAATTTCCATCTTTTGTAGCTTCCAGCGGCGACGTAGAGGCACTGAGGGGATAACTTTGAGTCGTATCAAGGGCCCATGACTCAGAAAAAGTGAACGCTGTCTCAAGGGTCTGTGGGCTGCTTGAACTTGAATTCACCCAGACTGCTGAGCAGGGATTGAAATTATGAGGATTCTCTGGAAAAGAGCCATCAGACGAGGGGGATGATGAATGCGACAGCTTCGAAGAGTAAAGATGATAAGCTCCCTGGTCAGAGTAGTTTGCGAGTAAATCGTGAGAGGGAATGGAGTGAACCATATTGTCGGCTCTTAAGACAAGCTAGTATCAATCACAGGCTGTTTTGAAACTCTACACAACCTTGTTGAACTGACATCAGAGGATAATATCCACAGAGAAGGGGTAATACTAATAGAGTTCAATAAGGTGTAAGACTGGCTCACAAGAGAGAGAAAGACCAAGCGCACTGGTGAGGGGATGGCCCTGTTAGATACAAGGAGGAGTAGACCAGAGTCTTGGAGAGTAAATGCGAAAATAGAGAGATAGAAGCCAGAAAATTCGAAGAGCCCCGGAAAATGACAGGTATTCCAGAGACAAAGAACAAAGAAAAAGAAAAAAGAGAGAAAAAGGAAACAAGAGGCGGGACCACTGAGCAAGAGAGAAGAGGGACCAGGTCATTCAAGGTCAAATATCGTGAGGTAAAAGTGTAGAGTGCCAGCTCATACCTAGAGTCAACGTCCTTCGTTCTTGTCGCCTTTTCGCTGCGGACTACCCGATAGATTCATGCACATCTGGCCCCAACAAACAAGGGGGAAAAGGTCTGAGACGTAGAGGGACTAGTTTTTCGCCATCATGTGTCTTGAGGGTGGTATACTCATAAAGTGGTGGTGCTTCAATCCATTCCTTCTACAGGAAATGCTTTCCCAGGCTGTGGAACAAGGATCCAGTATAAAGATGCAACCAATGAACTCAGGGACTATAAAGAGGCTGGATCTGGTACTACAGAGGGCTGCAATTGATCAATTAGTGAATTTTTTTACAAGCTAGGCCGACCGGGATTAGCTTAGAGCTCGCAGATAGCGGACGCCTGCAGAGAGTCTTGCTATGGGCCATACTTTGGTACATGGGAACAACCGAAAATGGAACAATGAGAGCACGAAAAAGAAAAGAAAGAGATACAGGGCACAGGTCCTTTCTGGAATTGATATTGTCACAGGGTCTTGAGAAACCCCAACTGCTTCTCTTTCAATTCATCCTGCAGATGCTCAAGCCATTCCTCTGTTCCCCGTCCAGCCGGAACCCGTCAAACGGCCTGCAGGTGGCATAGGTGTCACCGTAGCCGCCGCTTCATCACAACCCTTTCCGTTTCAATTCCGTGAAGACGATGCAAGTTGCGATAAGGTGCCCAGGATACATTGCCAGCTCCCACGTGATATCAATCAGCATCGTCCGAGGTCGAAAAAGTACTTGCGCATCTTAAACGTCGTCCGCAAAAAAGGCGGGAAAGGTTGGAAAAATAAAACACTTGAAAGGGGTAGCGGGTGAGGTGAATTTAAGCATCAAATACCGATTTCCCGCACGTGGAGCCTCTAATATGCGAGTGCTGCCGTAGAACCGGACCCAAATCCGAGTCGACATCTCCGGAAGGTAAGGTAGGTTCGTATGACACGTCTTAGCTCTTCACCTAGTAGTCACCGACCTGAGGTCTGTTCGTCTTGAGATCCAGTGATGAAGCGGACGGTTAGTATTTCCCGGCCAATCATAGGATAGGATTTCCTCTCGCGGCAGATTGCCCTGAACCGGAAGAGTACGGGATCTAACTGAAATCCAAGGTAGGTAGCTATTTGGACATCGAAAGCGAGTAACCACAATCCAGATCGTTCAATAAGCGATATAGAATCGGTGAGATCGTTCGATCGGTAAGCCGGCGTTGACGCTTCACTTCCGGTAGTAGATCTATAACCAATCAGTATCTGCTGTCCTGACAAGCCACTGCAACTGGGGTCAGGAAAATGGAGCCAGCTTACTCGCTTGAACTGAAAATGAAGTTGTAAGATTCCCTGAAGATGTCAGTACTTGTAAGTGCAATAGGAGTGGCGCCGTCTCGAACGCAGGATATACCTTGTCAAAGGTGCTTTTAAAACCCCTCTCTCTCTTGGCGCTATAGTCCCACTCTTTGTCTACGATCCGGAATGCGATATCTTCGTACGGCGGACCAGCCATGAACCGAATAAGGCATGTATCCTCTTCGCCAGCTGCGGCAAATGATTGTCCGCGTTTCCGTCCATGCTCTCGTTCAATGCGGTACGTAGGGGCTTTCGTTTTATCGATAAGATCGGGGTAGAAAATGTTGAACTTATAGCCCTGGACAACTTTTGGTGGCGGATTGTCATGATCATAGTGCGTCTGGTTGTACTTGTTCCACTCATACCCCATTTGCACCCGATTGAAGTACCGCGGCTTGCGAGGTCGGTACTTGCTGGCCCACTGCGGTTGCGCACCTGTGCTGACAGATTCCTCGCCAGTAAAGATCTCCTCGTTCTCACTGACTCCTTTAGCAAGTTCTCTCTCGTAAAGAGCTTTTGTCGCTTGTGAGAAATCCTCATTGGGAATCGATGAAAAACGAGTGGATGCTGTAGCGGCAGGCATGTTCGTTGTCTGGTTTGCGGGAGCTGCAGAGGGTCTCTCGGTCTGCCGCTGACGAAGGGGAACAAAGCCCATCTTTAAAATCTTTTGTCGCTCGCGCGCCTTCAAGCGTAGTCAGTAACAGACAGGGACCACAGATACAGAGACAAGGCAACTTACGACTTGATTAAGAAACGCTGCTTCATCCAAGGTTTCCAATCCTTTATCCTCTGGACGAATCTGGAGCAATGGTTCGGGATCTAGATCACGGAATCCGATCTCATTAACCTGTTCAGATCGTTCCTGATTTGTCTGAATGACCGGTGCAAGAGGAGCCAGCTTCATTCGAATAGATTCAGCCTCCTCATATTGTTGTTTGCGCAACCCGTTTACACGCTCATCGATCACGGCCTGGTAGACCTTCTTCAACTTAGCGCGAGCTTTCCACACCGTCAGGCTGCGCAAAAGCTCCTCCCAATAATCGGTGTCGATGGGCTCGTTAGAGTCCAGCTTCTTCCTGACCTGGACCTCAAGGGTCTCGAGTTGCTCGTATGTTTTTGGGCTTAGAAGTCGATTGATGTCAGCGGCAACGGAGCTGAGAGCACGCCCTTCGGGGGCAGTCGTTTTCTGGCGATCTCGGCAGATAACCTTCATTGTCTGAAAGCAAGCACGAAATTAGTCGCGAGCGAATGAGAGCAAGAGGCAGACAAGACTTACTTTCCAAAAATCCCTATTCTGTGAATTCTTCTCCAAGCTCAGGAATGTATCGATGTCCTTCTCCAAGTCGAGTAATTGACTCTGGGATAATCCTTCGAAAACGCCATCGGGATCCACCAGATCCAGCTCTGAATCCGCAATCTCGTCGTCAAGAGGATTCCGTGTTGGATCAATAACCCGCAGAGTGACCGTAAGCCAATCTATTGGTTTCGCACGACCCTCTTTGACCCGGATCTCGGCCTTCTTTTTCGCTTGCTTGAGAACAAACATGTCCTCCTGCGCCACCCATTCACGCACTTGCTCGTCCTCCTGCAATTGATTGAGACGCACCTGGTCTCGCATGCTCCTGACCGGTGGCTGCGATGATCGGCTATTCCCATCCTCCCATTTTCTACCATCACGGTGTCGCTCTCTCTCGTCGTATTTGCGGTGATATTTCTGGGGCTGGCGCCACGATGAAGGGGAGCGAGAGCGGCTTCGCTTAGAGCCTGTTCTATCGGGAAGTCGCGACGACATCTTCGTGATTCTATCGCCTGAAATTTTGTGTAAGAGACTCGATCGCAACAGTGTGTTTGTTGAACGTTGCGATGGCCGTCACTTTGGAAGATCCGCGATAAGTCTGGACTCTGGAGGAGCTTCCGAGGTGGAAGGTTGGCCGAGCGGCAGACTTCCCGCAGTTAGCACGTGCTTCGCTCCGCCATCACGTCAAATAAGACTGGGAGTGACTGGGAGTGCTGCCTGGGATGATAATCATCCTACAACTGCTCAGAGAAAGAGTTTCGATGATGTCCTCAAAATGGAGAAGACTTCATCTTCTAAGGCAGGAAGGCTTGCCTCCTCTTCTTTTGAAATACTCCAGAACACTAGATAGTTACGATGTTTACATGACTGACCTTTCGAATATCTGGACCGAGCATATGAGCCGCCAAGACATTCTCAACAGAGCTGATGAAGATGCTACTACAATCGACCCGAGCGAAGATCCAGACCAGTTTGAAGTGCTCCTTGGAAAGATAGGTGAAGCTCTAAGTAGCGAACCTGAAAGCACCGCATCGCTAGAACATGGATTGCGAGAGGATTCTATGAAACTGACAGTATCAACAAAGCTTCCTGCTCCGTTGAGACCTTTAATATGGACTATTTATCTTTCGAAGGAGCCGCAATCTTCTACGTCTCAGCATCTTGTCCTCCCATTACTTCGAGCAGAAGCTGGGTGGGAGTCGCGCCAGCGAACGCTCCTTGACCACCTCAGTAAGAAAGATTGGGTTCTAGGAAAGCTTTTCGATAAGATCGAAAGCATGGGTATGGATCTGAGCACCATCTTTCCTGGAATCACTGGGCTACGGAAAGCTCACGGGGATACATTGCTCTCTCAAGCTGCCAAATACATTAAAGGAGTGGCGCCTTTTGATGAACCAGAATGGCTTGACGAAGTCGCCAAATCATCACCCGATTCAGTTTTTGCTGCCGACATTCTGGCAGAAGTGTCTGGATCCGAAGAGACCAGAGGGATAGACAGACTCGGTCCACCCCCGGACAGATGGTGGGAGAAGCTTGCAGCAACCAGAGCTATCACCCTGGCGCCTCCAGAGCTTGAAGAAGCCACAAAAACCGTGGAGAAAAAGCCCACGAAAAATGTCTCAAAAATGGACACCGACACGGACACGGGCAACGATGATCTTAACGATGACGATGAGTTTGAGGTGCGTGCAACCCTTGGATATCCATGTACTTGTTTTAATCCCATTGCTTCAGCGACAAGAGACACCCCCCAGACTAAAGAAGGCCAAGGAGCCTGAACGACAATCCCCGGCTACCACTGCTACTACCGCTGGAATCGACAGTGAGACAGATCGCGAACACAAATCCACGAAACGAAGATCCCCTTCGCCACAGAAGCCCCCAGCAAAGAAATCAAAAGGACTGGGTATCATTGGCGGTACAAAGAAGATCAAGCAGAAGTCTCCAACACCCCCACCGCCATCTCCACCCCGAGATCTCGCATCACCAACATCAAAGATCCAAGAGGACGAGGCAACGGACTCGGGTTCCGACCACAAAGCTCGACTCTCACCACCTCCTCCTCGAGCATCAACCACAGCCAAACCCAGCGCAAGCGCAACCACTGCACCGAAACCACGCGAGCTAGGCGTCATCGGAGGCAAGAAGAAAGAACCACCACCACAACAACAGATTCCTCAGCCTTCCCTCTCCCCGGAAGCCCCACCCTCCACCACCAACCCCCTCGCCGCAGAGCCAAAGCTAAAACAAGTTGGCAAGCTGGGTATGATCGGAGGTAAAGCCCGCAAGACCAGTGAGGTTCCCCCATCCGCCTCCTCCCAGACTCGGGCCGAGACGACGACACCGCCGCCTCCAGCAAAGTCTGAGGGCGACGAGGAGGTTTCTCAACAAGGTGCTGTAAAGCGATCGCCTTCGCCTGTGAAACCACCGCAACAGGAAACGGAGCAGGAGCGCGCTGATCGCAAACGAGAGGAACTGAAGAGGCAGCTTGAGGCGAAGAGCAAGGCTCCGGTGAAGAAGAAAAGAAGATTCTAAGCTGGATTTGGGCTTGTCTGTAAGAGAATGGGTTGTGAATATTTCAAGGTACTTGTGGTTCTAGAGCGCATTTTGGATATCATGTTTCGTTCAGCATTTCTACGGAAACATCATGATCTGTCTATGCCTTCCTTCGCTGGAACTAAGATGCTGCGTCTTAGTCATCTATCATGACCCCCTTAGCCATCAAACTTGTAACCCGAATCCCATGAGTGACCATCACAGAAGTTCTGTACATGTATTGCAGTAAATCATAAGAACACAAAGGGCACAGGTCAAGATGTTGTCAGATGTTAATTCCGCTACTGCCCCCGGTACTTGCCCGCGACGGACCACTCCGTCGCTTGCCTTGCTCACTCGGCGTGACCAGTCGTACTTTCTTAGGTGACATCATGCCGGACGAAGACGCTGCCCCGGTCCCGGCGGCCGCATTTGAAGCAGTGCTTCCGCCTGATACGGCAACACCGAGCATACCACGGACCTTTTCGACCGCTTTGCTCTCGCCTTTCGCCCAGGGGTCGCGTTTGACGAACCCGACTCCGGCTTTTCTGCTAGCAGAGTCTCGCTTTCTCGATTCATCCTGCAAGACGAGGCGATTAAACTCACGGCGTGGTCCCGGTGCACAGTCGTGCATACACCCCGGGGTGGCGCAACCCCCTTCACTGACGGACGGGTCGCTCAACCACGTGGTAATACAAGCCATGTGGCCTCCGTGGCCGCAACCTTGACACCAGGTCCATAGATTGGAACCCTTCGGTCGAGGAACGGTGTAATCTCCCAGCAATGCATCATCCAAACGCTGCAACTCGGAGGAAGGGATCTGCTCCGTCTTGAGCGAGGATCGCGATGAGGATAGCAAATGCGAGGTAGCCTTGGAGTCCTCTTCGGAATCGGCAAATGATGAGATCTGCTCTGTAATCCAATCTGCGGGTGGGTCGACGCTCATGCAAATGGCACAAGGTTCTTGCGGGGTGTTGCATTGGTAACAGCGTCGGTTATCCTGTTTCGGGTTTTCGTATGGTCGCTTGCACGTGAAGCAGAACACATTTATGAAAGTATTTGTCTGGGCATACTCATACACCGCTGGATAGGATGGTACACATAAAAGTCGAAGCTCGGCAGCCTCCAGGTACATCGACTGGCGTACAAGGTGCTCATGGTAGGTTTTGAAGATGAGCTCACACTCCTCCCTTGGGAGAAGTTTCTCACATTCTCGGAAGAGAACGCGTAGTTTCTGAAGTAGGTGGGCAGCAGACTGTATGTCAACATGCGTGCTGCTGTGATTATACCTGATCGCTTCTTTCAGCAATATTTCCGCCCCCCAAGGCTTTTTTCCGCTCAGGTCGGGGCTGAGAGGGATAATGACTTCGGAAAGGTCCTCAGTCGACTCAGGTATAGATCGAAAATTCGGTGCGTTCTTGGCTGTTGTTGAGCAGTCCTGACTAGGGATCTGCAAGGGGCTAGACTCCGATAGAAGCGGCGGAGGGCTCGAAGGGCGTTCCAGATGAACGCTGCTAGCATTAATAACACTTTCTTGAAACAATCCGTCATCATGAAGCTCCTGTTTGTTCGGTATGGAGGCGTGAGCAAGTTCTAGATTCTCATGATCGCGAGTATAGTCCTCAATGACAGACTCATCGATTTCAGCAATCTTCGAGCTATCGTACAGTCTTGCCGCAGAGGAAAACGATGTAGCCAGCGATTTGGAAGGATGTGAGCTTCCTGTAGATTCTGAGAACATTGGAAAGCTCTCCGAGGATTCATGTCGGTGAAAAGGCGGGGGCCTTGGGGGCTCGATATGAGACTCGAGCGACAACACTTTCTTAGGAAAGAGCTTATAATCACGAATCGCTGCCCTTTTGTCCTCCATCTTCTGGTCGAACTCGTCTTCTGACGCTCCTTTGACATAATCCGGGTGATTTCGAAGGCGCCAGTCCGCTTGACGATTAATCGCCCGCGGTGCTGATCTTTGGTCACTTTCCGGATTTTGAATCGCTGATGTCCCAACGAGGTCTGCTGGTGGGCTTTCGAACGAAGTCAGGGCACTATCACCAGCATCTGACTGGCGTTTTTCGAATTGGGGTAGGGAATGGGGTTCGACATCTGACATTGACGACCAACCGTTCGAGTTCATCGTGCCCTGATTAGAGCTCAAAACGGAGGGCGGTAAGGGCTCGATATCTGCAGCATCATCATTCAGAGAGGTCATTTGCGAGTGCGGACTGCCCAGAGACTCGACAGGTGAGTCCGGCAAGGGTCTTGCGAGAGGTGTGGTGATATTTGACGTGCTTTCAATTTCTGTTGTGGCATGCCTTGATGCATCTGTCTCCATTACCACTCTGAACAAGCGGTTTTTCAATCTGTCAGTCCTTCCATCTTCCAGGGCGGGAGGTCGCTCCGCAAGGTGCCCCTCTTTGGAAAGCATTTTCTTGACGTTGCGTGAGCCTCTCTCAGGGGCCTGACGTTGCGCCCTGGCCCTGAGTTCAAGCTCCTGGATAACAGCGAACTTGGCTATCCTCCAAGTCTGAGCTAGTTTGGGCAGCGACACATCCTCTGCGCGTTCTGCATTCCGAGTCAATGAGTCTAACAAGGCGCGCAGTAAGTCTGCATGCTTGCGGCTATCTTCGGGAGCTTCGAGTAAAGGAGAATAGTGGCGAGCGAGGAATCGAAAGACCGCCGGATCCAAAGTGGCCCCGGGAACGCTACCCACTACTCCGAGTTGGCGTGGTCCAGGTGGAGGAATCTTGGATAGCGTTTCTCCCAACGGAAGGACGGGAGGAATCTCGGGTGCCCCCGGCGGCGTACTGCTCAATGATTTGGATGGACGAATGCTACTGGACTTACTGGGCCGATGACGAATGGAGACAAAGGAAGGCTCATCAAGGATGTCTTCCGTCGGGCTGTGGCCCAAATGTTCGCCGCTACTGTGCTCCATCTCTAGACGACCTACGAATTCAGTAGCACTGGGACCCATAACACTTCGCCGAGCTCGTTTCTGAGCGAAAGCAAGCACCTCTCCATTGGGGCTCCAAGCGACGGCGCACGTGGGCCGCTGATTGACCACATGCGGAGCATAACGAATGTCGGTCTGTGTGAAAGCACCAGTTTCGCCTACCGTCCACAAGAGATCTTTGGAATGCCAAAGCAGATCTGCAGCGTGAGAGTCATACCGATCGAATTCCCGGAAGGGGATATGTGGTCGTCGAAGGTCCCAGAGGTGAACCCGTGGATCTTCTTTATCGTACGACGTGACCACCTGGCAAGACTGCCAATCGCCGGATTCCTTATCGGTGGAAGGCGGGCGCCATCGCACATTGAGGACGGCCTGCGGTGTCCTGAACTGGAAAGTAGGCTTTTGTCTCCGCTCAGCGGACGAGGAAAAGTCCCAGACTTTGACCTGCCTGTCTGTGCCGCCACTGACAACATGCTGTCCATCCGGGTGCCAATCCACTGAAAAACACGGTCTGTCATGAGCAGTAATCCTCATCAAGGGAGCACTGTTTTTCCGAGAGTCCCACAGTTGAATCGCACCGCTATCCGTAGCGGTCGCAAACACGAAACGGTCGCTCGGCGACCATCTGATGTCACGGACGGCGTCACTGTTGCCAATGTATTGTTCCTTACTCCCACACATAGACACTCCACGTTCGGAAGACGCTGTCCGCAAGTCCCACATTCGGATCGTAGAATCCTGACTCCCTGACAGGATCAATGCCGGAGAGTAAGGATTGAAAGCTAGCCGATGAACCTGACGGCTGTGTCCTTGGAAGCGGCAAAATTCCAAGCCAGTCCGATTGAGATCATAGACGACAATGCGACCATTAGCCACAGCGGTGGCGATGGTTCGGTCATAATTGCCATGTGACCATTTAACGTCCCTGATGGTCAGCTGGTCCTTGTGCCGCGCGGAAAGCCCACTCCCACCATGATGTGTGGAGGAGTAACTGATGATAGCATTGCGAAGATTGACTTCCTCGGACAGACGGTCGGGGAAGACGCGAATGGTCTTTAAAATTTCCTTCCCACCAATGACGGCGTGCGTCCGTTGCGGGGAGACGTCTAGGGCAGTTATGGGGATCCCGGTCTTATGTGTAACAGTTTGAGATGCCCCGGGTCTGGATCTGACGTTAGTTCGATCGTTCTAAGTGGCTTGAACTCAAGCTCTATGCCAGCGGAAGCCTGATAGGTGGTGGGGTGGTGAAAGTGAAGTCAAGCAAGGGACGTAGGCGGTGAAATCGATCAAATCAGAATGACAGAAAACCAAACGCAGAAAGGGAAAAGAAAGCCGTACAAGGACTTGGACCTGGTTGAACGGGGACCAGCAGACAGATCTGCACGACCAGTTGCAGTCTGTGGGCTGGGGGGCCGAGACCCAGAGAAAAAAGGCTGGGCAAATCTTGCTAGAGCACTGGCCGCTCGATGGGAGTATTTTTGGCCTTGATGCACTGGCGCAGGAGGAGGAGGAGGGGGAGGAGCTGGAGATTGCTGTGAAGCAGAAGTGTTGCCACGAGTGGGCAGTCGAGGAAGATCGGACATGGCAGATCAAATGATGGACGACTCAGCATCGAGTCCAAGAACGTAGAATAGAAAACAAAGCGCACAAGGTTAGAGTCGATCAAGACTCATCCTGATGAAGATCGAAGCTTCATCCTCGACCATAGGTACCCCGCAATAGTCAGATGAGCAGCAAATGCTTGCTTACAGAGATTGTAGAACGCAGAATGATACAGAGTAGTCACTTGATAGTCAATAATGGCAGCAATCCATGGATTGTCTGGGAGTGGGGATAGAAAGGGGGAGGCGGAGCCCCTGCAAAGTGCAAAGGGTGTGTAATTGCGTATGCCTTCAGAGTACAGGAAGCTGGGGGGGTAGGTTTGGGATAGGAGGTTACATAGGCATGGTGTTATTATTGGTTGGAACCAGACAGCGGATGACTGAGTAAATGCAGCTCACAAAAGAGACGGACAAGAAGGGGAATAGAGGTACAATGATGCTTGCAAGCTGGACAGAGTGGAGGAATGGATGAATGGCAGGAGTAAGGTAGTGATGATGCCTTTGAGGGATGATGGATCAATGGCAAAGAATAGAGCAGGCCAATCGCAATACTCCACACTATGCTCTGATTGCTTGGCACAATGTCAAATGGATCAATGTAGACAAATTGCAACGTTCTATGGATGTAATCAGATGTTGCCTTAGCGTAATCATAATACTAGTAAATAGATAAACGGAAGAAGATGATGATCAAAAAGAGAGTGGCAAGAACTCGTGATGCGCGCGGGTTTTGGTGTGGGAATGATTTAGCGTCCAGAGTGGATTCGTTTGTTTGAAGCTGCTAATAGACTTAGGTAGATAATCTGAGCTCATGAGCTGAGACTCAATAACAGCCACTTAGATTGATGAGAATTGGTAGCAGTACTAATGTGACTACAATAGGTACCTCTCTAGGAGTTTAGGTAAGAATAGGCAAGGTACTACTAGTTAGCAGTCTGTCGAAGGCAAACAGTGGTATGTTACCTGTCCAGCTGATAGATCATAAGCAGTTAGCAACCGGCAAGTTGACAAGGAGAAATCTTTGGAAATGCTCTTGTGCACGGCCGTTGGGAAAGACAGGTGAAAAGATTACATGCCAGCCCAGATCCTGGATATGAAATCTGTGTTGTCCTGGATCCTAGGTAGATACCTAAGCACTGTAGACAGATGTATAAATTGAATATCAAAGCGTTACATGCATGCATGATAGAGGCGGTCTGGAAGCATTCTGCATCGAATGAGATACATGGGTTTTATTTCTGATAATTCAGTGAATCTAAGTACATGACCTAAGCGATGTAAATAGTCCACTACTTGTATGGGTATTCTTCTATTAATGACTGAGACTTGAGTCTTACCTGGTGGTGTAGTGCTTGTTTGTGTCTTAAACATGCTGGTGTGGTGATGTACTGGTACATAATAATACATATAACCATAGGTACCAACCATGAGATGTTTTAGATCATCCGGACACTCGGGACTGAAGGGTGGGACAAAACTAACTATGTAAGCAGGGAAAAACAAATAACAAACGTCAAGGGTCCTAACTAGGGCCTCCTCTACGGAGTACATAATTGAAGAATTCGGTTCGGATCCCGACATATTACCCCGTAGGGATTAATAGCTACTATTGTACTTTGGTCATCAGGTAGATCTGCATATGAGTTATATGACATCCAACTCCAAGACCTGGTATAAATAAATTCCCGAAGCGTTGATTGTGATTGTACAGGTACACCGTACACCACCCCTGGAAAAGCCTCAACCTGTTGTACAGCCACTTACGCAGAGTAATACTTCTTATACTCGAGGCATTGAAAATCCCGAGATGCAAGTCTCACTCAGAAAACATTACTATGAACTAAGTGTCGAACGTCCAAGGTGCTTGACCACATAGAATTCGAAAATCCAATGGATATCGGACTGTAGTGCAGAGTCCAGAATACAGATAAGGCTGGCAATCAACGATCTTAAGCAAACAAAGCCGCATGATTTTGATTGCAGCTCGGACCATTTCATCGATCGAAGTAAGCAGTAAATACTTACTAACTCTGGTATATCGAAGATCTATTATCATGACTCGTTCTCCAACCAGTCATCTTTCTGTCACACCCTAGAGTCTAGAGCATCTACTGTCTCTCGACAGGTTGGCACTCGAGCACTGCTTGCGTCACGAAGCTCATCTCTGACATCCAATCTCTTTCATTCTACTCCGTATAACCACTCGTTCTTCTGCTCCAGAAGCCAATCATGAGTTTCACCGGAGCTGTTGGACCCCTGTAGGTTTTGGGCATGAAGCTCTGACCTTGTCTGTTCAATTTATAGAATTCCTTGAAGAGCTTGCCAACTGGTGTCTCCATGGCCTGCTATTCATGGTTCTAATCCTAGACAAACAATGACAGGAACGAGTTAGAGACGATCCTTTATCCCGCGAAGAGGATTGAGAGAAAATAGTGGAAAGGGAAATCAAGGAAAATCTATCAGACCACTGGATCAATCAAAAATACTTTGATAGTCATCCGACCTACGGACGACTACTACTTCTAAAATATTTGGGGGAGATGCATGCCCAGGTAACCTTCAGCTGTTGCAGCGCACTAATTTCTTGATTTTGGTTGGAACTTTCTCCTACATCGGAATATTCTTCTTGGCTTTATTTAGCAGTAGCAGTTGACTAGTAGGTAGAATTCGCCTCCCAGGCTCCACAAGCTTCAGCAGCTCGAATGGAGCTAACCAGACTACGGAGTCGAGATAAACCAGTCCCAGAGAAAGACAGAGAGTTCTCGACTCCGTCCGGATCCTGCATGGCGGAACCCGCACACCGTCATTCCACCCAGACTAGTAGTTATTTCCTCGTCCTCGATGGTCAATCCTGAGCTAGGTCACTTACTACCTACTACCTACCTACTATTAGATCTCTCCATTGATCAGCTCCTGTACCTTTCTTTCTTTCACTCTTCTCTCTTTCCTCTCTTCTTCCTGTTCTCTCCTCTCTCCACTCTCCTTCTATCTCTCGTATGGTTCAATGCTTCGCCATATAGTAGGGGTTCTTCCTTCACATCCCTGTTCGTGTTCTCGTCACCACGTATAGCTTTTTAATCAATACGCGCTTTTCTTCTATTGTACCTATTATCTGCGTTCTTCTATTCTTCTCACTGCCTTTATCTTGCTTTTTGTCATTCTGTGTCGCCTGAATTGGTGCCGAGTTTCGTTATCACGACCAGGAAAGGGAGAACGAAGAGCAACAGAGACATCATCCCTCATTCATTCGATCTCTACCCGCCTACATAACAGTTAACCCACAGGCCCTCTACTTCTCGACCGTCCTTAGACCTCTGTTCCTACGCCGACAGTCGTTTCCGACCCGACTCCTACTCCAACCGCTGTCCCTACCGCTTCTTTTTCGTATCCCTCGGTCAAGGCGGAAAAATACGGCCATTGTGTCATGGAAACGTTTTGATGAACCTGTGATTGTTTCGGATATTGCGCGGAGGATTGATCATGATGGTTTCTCATCATGGGACGCGTGAGCTGTTGGCGTACCTTCGCATAAGCTCCCCAATCGTACTCCTCCTTGTTTTTGTCGTGGCCTTTGTGACCAACTCCATTCGCACGGCGAAAACTGTGACCCAAAATGGCAATGCAGTGTGCACAGGGCCGGGTGGACGACCTCTGCCGAAGCGGTCAAGAAGCACAATGGCCGTCGTGAAGGAGACACAGAAGTTTTCTCGAAACGCAAAGCTGCTTTTCAAGTGGCTATCGGCTGGTGTGCTCGTCACTTTGGTTGCCGATGCCGCCATCAATGTGGCCCATGTTATGGCTGCCAGATCGGAGCACTGGTGGTGTGGCCAGGCTGTGGTGGTAAGTCAGACAACTCGATGCTTGAACGATTGATGCGACGATCGTCGACCCAGTGGCTGATAGATTTGTTAGATCTACGTTGTGGGGTCATTTTTCGTCTACGCGGTAATCCTCGTCTCTCTGTTGGACAGTAAACCCTCCCCATCCTCGACCCAGCTCATTCCGTGGATTATCGCAATTCCTTTCGAATTGGCCATTCTGGGGGCCTCCCTTTCGGTTTACTCCACCGTTCACCATGAACCTGTGGTCGGGAATCCTTCCGGTGGTCGACTACGACAGGGCATGACGGGATGGGAGTCAATGGAGATCGTCTCAAATTCTATCAGAGTACTCATTTTGGCGACGTTGGTTATAATTTACTTGTTCAGCTCGATCAGTGCGAGGACTAGTGCACGGAAGGCAGCCCGAGATCAGACCGATGGCCCAACCGAGTCGACAGGATTGCTCGATCCCGCACACGCAGAAACAGGCACTAATGGCACCAATGGCACCAATGGCACGGCTTACGGCTCGACTCATGCCTCTCAAGGAAACCAGCAGCCTTCCAAACCGGCCGATCCATGGGTCCGTCCAACCACAGTCCCGTCAACCAGCTGGTGGGAATATCTCAGTGGCTACTCTTTATTCTTTCCTTACCTGTGGCCTTCCAAGTCCCGTCAATTGCAGGTGATTGTGGTCATCTGTTTCATGCTGATTGTCCTCCAACGTGTCGTCAATGTTCTGGTCCCTTACCAGGTGGGAGTGATTACCAATATCTTGTCGAAAACGGACGGTGACTTCCGTGTGCCGTGGTTTGAAATCTGTCTGTACATTCTTTACAGGTGGCTACAAGGCAATCAGGGCTTGATTGGATCGCTGCGGTCTAGCCTATGGATCCCAGTGAGCCAGTATTCTTACATGGAGCTTTCGACGGCTGCCTTTGAACATGTGCATAGTCTCAGTCTCGATTTCCACTTGGGAAAGAAGACCGGTGAGGTGCTATCTGCACTAAGCAAAGGCAGCTCTATCAATACCTTCCTGGAACAGGTTACTTTTCAGGTTGTGCCAATGCTGGTAGATCTCTGTGTCGCCATTGGATATTTGCTTATTGCCCTTGACGCTTATTATGCGCTCGTTGTTACTATCGTCACCTTTTGCTACCT